CTACTTTATATTTCACTTTATATTTCAAGCTGGAAAAGCTGAATGAATTGTTTCAGCTGTTTTTTTTGACGAGGACAAGCAAACACAAACATGCACTACTTTCTTACCCGTTATCCCTCTGTCTTACTTAGGTATTGCTTCTACAGTCCATGATCTGAATTGTTAATTCATCACTCTCTCTGCTATGTAATTAAGCCATTTACCCACTGATTTTTAGCAAACTGATCAGACTTGTCACAGGACACATTTACAACACCATGATATTTCTGTGTCCCATGAGAGCATATCTAGATAAAGACAGCTCTGTGACACCATGATTAAAATATACTATAGCACAGAAATATAAAATGCTGCCTTGTACAGTTTTGTGTTGGATTATAAATAAATATCTGAAAAACACAGAAAAAAAGCACAAATACACTGACACCATAAGACAATGCTCAAAAGGTATTTATTATCATCATACATGGTGTGATCATAACAAAGATCAGGTGTTGATTATGCTGACATGTTCCTCACCCAGTGATCTGTATATCTATTCAACTATCCCTCCAACATTTCCAGCATCCGCCTGCTTAGCTGGTTGTAGTCCAGATGGCCTCCAACTCTTGTCCTCTAGCTGACTGGGTCTCAGGTCCACGTTCAGGCTCTGTCCCTTGTTTCCCAGGGCTGTCAAATCCATTCCATATTACCAATTATTATTTTCTATTAGCTTTAGCTGCACACACACACACACACACACACACAATTTCAACATAATACTCAATAAACAACTATATATTTAATATGTAAAAAAAATAAAAAAGAAGATGGGGGGGATTTAGCTACAGTAACTTATAAAAATCTCCATCAGGTCTATATCTCAACCATTACTGTCAAAACTTGGTTGACTATCAGGCACATAAATGCATTTTTGAATAAAATAATGCTAGGATCATTGAACACTGTCTAAAAAAGTTTTGACAGTTCCTTCACTTCTCAGAGTAGTACTCCACAGTGTTAAGTATTCAGTAAGAAACTTTTTCTAAAGCTGCACATTTGTCCATCTCAGTGAACCAAAGTCTCCCTGGAGGTGTCAGGGGAAACTTTCACTTTGTACCAAAGATTTTCCATCCTAACATTAGTGTAGTCTGGACACAGCCTGCCTCAGAGGCTGGTATATGGCTGCCCAAAATACTTACAGTATGTCTGCTCGGCGTGTCCTGCCTCTCTTCTACCTTTCTCTCTCCTGCTCTCTCTTCCTGCGGGATCAGCACCTCAGCTGTGTTGCATTCGGTAATGAGTGACTCGTTTGTCGGTGGGCACAGCTGACTTGCATCCCTGTGATCACCTTCCCCTTTATTTAAACCTCTGGCAGATGCTCCCTCGTCGCCGGGGCATTGCACTATGTTAGACATGGACATGTTGAGGAAGTAATGACAGTTTGAGCATACGGTGAGGTTTTAGTTTTTCTTGTTTTGTGTTAGATAGGGCCACTCATGTTGGCGATCTTCCCCCTGCTATGTGTATCTGACGGCGATGCCGTGATTACCTCTGGTGAACTTTCCTAGCCATGGGTATCGGACGGCGATGCCGTGATCACCTCTGAACTTTCCTAGCCATGTATATCTGACGGTGATTTTCCCAGCCGTAGGTACCGGACGGCTAGCGCTACAGCGAGCGCTACACTAGCCCTGTCTTCTCGTTCCTGTGTCCCTCCTGTCATCTCACCTGTCACTGTTCTCCTGTCTACTCACCTGCCTTGTCCTGGTCCTCTACTCTCCTGTTTCCTGCAATAATCCTCCTATTCATCTGCTTGTCCTAGACTCCTCAGCCATCCCTGTCCTACCCCGGTTATTGTACTATACGTTGACTCATTTACTCTGTCTGTGTTCCTTAATAAATCACCTTTTTTCACTAGCACCTGGGTCTGCACATTGAGTCCTACCTCAGTTGTCCCTCACCCCCCTGGTGAGGGGGACTCAACCATAACACATACTTTATTAAAAGTTAGTTTTAGCTGAGGCAACATGTTGTTCTGAATCTAACTGCTTAGCTAAGTGTTCCTTTTTCTTAATGGAGACATACTGAAAAATATGGCCTCAAGCAAATGCCTTAAATACCCAGGAACGACACAGTTTCAAGATTACAATCTTTATACGGATTAGTTTGTGTTATCAATGGCTCCCTGAAATTTAAATCTAATAACAAAGTTCAATTCAGCCTCCACCTGGAAGACCTGTACGGTAAGCTAAAAGAAGACATATATAGTAAGACAGGTGCCTAGTATGATATTATAATATTACCAATATTACTTGAGAAAAAAGAGGAGAAAATAAAGTTTAACATTAAAAAGTAATCTATTGTGGAAAAGGTATTATGCCAATGTGATGGGCTATGCAGACAGCATATACAAAATATTACTTTAACATTAATGTATATTTTATTATTGGATTATAATTACTGAGGCATTATTGTGTAGATTGCATTTAATGTTGCAGCTGGTTAAGGGGGAGCTATTTTTAATTTGCTTATATTCTTATAATATGAATTACGGCTGGGTAGGAAGTGAATTTTACACCAGAAATTAATAGAGTATTATGATTAAATTATTTTTGTATTATCCTAGTTTTGAAAATAAATGTAATGGAGTATAAAGTAAAATATTTGCACCTGAAATGTAGTGAGGTAAAAGTATGAAGTAGTGAAAAATGAAAATACTCACGTAAAGTACTTATACCAAAAAGCTGTACTTAAGTACAGTACTTGATTAAATGTACTGAAATACTTTCCACCACTGGCCATATATCGACCAGATCGAATGCTTTCCATGTCTTTAACAAACTCACTCATCCTTGAAGGATCTGATGCCGGGGTACTCTGGTCTATTACTGAGTCCACTGCTGCTTTAAGATCTCCACCTAAAATAACTGGAAACCTCCATCTCCATAACCATATTCTCTAACTGTGTAAATGAATGCTGAATCCTCTATATTTGGAGCAAATACATTAGCCTTGGTTGTCTGAAGACGCTTAAATTGAAAACGTTTATCTATTAAGGCAGCAACTCCCCTGGCCCTGATATCCCCACAGGACCCTGCCACA